AGATAAAATGTTGGGTAATTTAAAAATAATAATACTGTAATAATTACATTTATATTTTAGACATATAATTTAAATTTGCATAGGAAACTTTTTTTAACAAAAAAAGTTTTCCTTGAGCGATTTTGCCATTAAACCCCACCAACATCGCCCTACAGGGGCAGCGTGTAGTCCAAAATTTCCGGATCCGGACTGCAGATCATCCGAAACCTAAAATTTGGAAATTTTTAAGTGTTGAGCAAAGATATCTCAACGACCACTTGACTAAATTCGATAGATTTTTCTTATTTGGATTCTATGAATCTGTAGGATTCAAATAAAAAAATTTATCCAGCTTTGATCAAGTGGTCGCCAAGATAACTTCGCTCAAAGCTGGAAAAAATTCAAAACGTAATAGAAGCCACGCTGAATTGTTTTGGAATTTCTCTAACTATGAGCGAAGATATCTTGGCAACAACCTGACTAAATTCGACGAATTTTTTTTGTTGATTACTACCAATCTGTAGAATTTAAATATAGAAAATCTTCAAATTTGATGTGGTTGTTGAGATATCTTCACTCAAGTTTTAAAAATAATTCGGCGTAGCTTTTATTTACGTTTGAATTTTTTTCCAACCTTGAGCGAAGTTACCTTGGCGACCAATTGATCAAATTCAATAAAATTTTTTATTTGAGTTCTGAGATTCATAAAATTTAAATAAAAAATTTCCATAGAATTTAGTTGTTTTAAAGTTTTATTAAATTTCGGAATATGATCTGCAGTCCGGATCCGGAAATTTTGGACTACACGCTGCCCCTGTTAACATCGCCCCTAGTAACCATAACATAAGCGTGCATAAAAAATTTTGAGCCGTGGGAGATGCCTATAATTTACTCTTTTTTTAATGATGGAATATACTGTCATGTGGTTAAAAATGTTGTACGTACTTAGCATCACAAAAATGTTTACTAGGTTCTAAATCAACTATTTGTATGAAAATAGTTTGAAAAAAAGAGGTTCTATCCCTTAAAGTATTTGACAATTCAGGGCAAATTTGCCCTGAAATTTTCCGATAGTTACATGTTTATAAAAAAAAAATTTTTACTATTTCTCTGACATTAGGCCATACAAACTTAATAAATTGGTTCTCATACCCGGCCGGACCAAATTCTGCAAAGCTTTGAAAAAAATTTTGACTATATTTATTACTCGGGTGAACTTTTTTAGATGTCTATAAAAAATTTTTATGTTTTTTTTGTATATACAGTCAGACCTCCCTAAAGCACGTCGTCGGGACCAGCTCTAGAACGTGCATTTAGGGAAGGTTGCGATTAGATAATAAAATCACAATGAGATTATTATCGCGTGACAAATATGGCTTTAGTAGCTAGAAATAATGAATTTGATTGGCTGATAATCATGTGTATGCATTTATGGAGTGAGTTTTTTTATAAGTGGGCCAGGCAATTAGCGTGCACTTACAGAATAAAGAACGTGCATTTACCTATAAGTCCCACGGGCTTATATCATGCATTTAGGGTGTGCTGCATTTAGGGAGGTGCATTTAGGGGAGTCTGACTGTAAAACTTTTTAAAATAATTAAAAGCCGGGTTGCCAGGTCATTTTTAAAATTTTATGTTATGAGAGCAAAAAATTGATTTTGTATGGCCTTAAATATAATGCAGTTATATAAATTTAGTATTTTATTTATTTATTTATTTATTATTCATAACATCCATTAAAATAATCTAAATGCTGTTTATCTATGATAAATTTTTAGAATTATATTAATATATATATTTTAAAATTGAATAACTTTTGATAGACAGGTCCATTACCGAAATCAAAACTTATCGAATCGGCAAAACAATAATTTGGTCAATTTTTTACTAGATGTCCTAAATTTTATGAGAACAGCTATAACTTAAGTTTTGACTTATTTTTAGATTTCGGCATTTTCGATTTCAATGAATCCAAATCGTTAAAATCTGATCACGTGACAAGGTCGTTAAAATTTATATTATAGAAATTTTTACAAATTTATAATATCTTGCGAATAGTTATTGAAATTTGGCAATTTTGGTGCGCCTCGTCGAGACGGATCGAATGTTATTAAAACGCTAAATTCTGGTTACTAGATCACGAGATATTAATATTTAAGTAATATTTGACTATCTCGCTATATAATGGTTAGAATTTGATAATTTTGGTACCATTCGATTCGTCTCGATGAGACGATTCGAATGATCAAATTCTTGATCACTTATCACAAAACTATTTGAAATGCAGTTCTGTACAAAAAATTTCTGCGCAAAACAGTGCCGCAAATCATTTTTTGCAAACATCTCACGACATAGTGATCAGAATTTGACTATTTTGGACCATTCGAACCGTCTCATCGAGACGAATCGAATGGTGTTAGGATTATCAGTTTCCGACCACTAGATATTGATATCGTCGAGATTATATAAATATCATTTATCTTGTGATCTAGTAATCAGAATTTAATGGTTTGAGTACCATTAGTTCCGATTTGATGAGACGAATCGAATAGTACTAAGATCGTTAAATTCTAATTACTATATCATGAGATATCATTTAATTTGTAAAAAATCCCTAGGGTCACGGATTTGCATCAATTTCATTTTCCCGATGAACATAGATTAGATATAAGGTCCTGATTTTAGTTCTCATGAGGTTTTCAAGAACCCTAAACATTTTTACTTAGAGTACCCGATCTCGTTTACTTAGTATGTTTTCGAGATATAAGATGATCACCACCAGTTTACTAAAATACAGATAAAATTAGAATTTTTAAATAAGATAATTTTAATTGATGTAATACAAGTATTACATAAATATCCAATCAAATTTTTAAAATTCAGTGCAAATTTGCAGGAGAAACGGTTTAAGGGATAATAGCATATGTATGTCATACAATATGATACGTAAATTGGTCTATCGATCTGATCTTAGATCAGACTGATCCGGTCTGGTAATTGTGGAAATGAATAAATTAGTCATTTTGGACCGTCGATCTTTAATCTTATGGTCCGAATCGGACTAATTTAACATCCTTAATAATACAGGAACCAATCGATTAATTGTTCTCCATTTTTGGTAAGATTATTAGAAACTTTAATATTATGTATTTTTAATTATATAATTGCGTATATGTCGATATCTTGGTATATATGTACGTATGCACATACATTAGCATAGACAAAATGTTTTTTCAACAAACTAGAAAATTTAAGGAAATTTGTGCTATAATAAGATTAAACTTAATACTCTTTATAGTAAATTTATGGAATATCATTATTAATTGTTCTTTCCAATATTTGGATAAAAATGAAATCCAAACTTCAAATTTCATTGTGATCATCGCTGTTACAATTATTCCGATAAAAAGGACGTTCTTTACTAGCTTCCATTATAAGGAACTACCGAAAACTTTAACATGTACAAAGTTTATTCTTAAGGAGTTTTTTTACCCAAACTTATTAAAAAAAATTTTTTTTTGATACACGCATATATATAATTTTCTTTTGTCAAAATATTAAACACTTAAATGAACGAATCCCAATCCACGTATGATCCTGTAAATATTATCAATGGCGAAGAGTATTGCATGTAAATTATCTTTGAAAGAATTCTTGGCTAAATGGTTTAAATGTTCGAATAACTAATATTGCATAAATCTTGTTAGATGGTACATATTCATATATAATTGCAAAAACTCATCCTTCTTTGTCGCGGTTTACTATAGCAATTTTATATTATCCATAATAACAACATTGTTATCCGGGGTAAGTTGCTTTAAACGTTTCAAAATTCAAACTATTAGTCAAGAAAAGAAATTTTTATTTCAGTTTATTAAAAGATTGCTTGCTTAATTTAAAAGGTATTATTGTCAACCCGATTATACAAACGAAAAACCCGTCTTTTTGTCAAAGGTCTACTATCTCCGTTAGAAGGATTTCTTTTATTCACATTAATTGGAGGAATATGTATGTAGAAAATTTCAATTCCTATAAATGACTTATTATAAAGTTTTTATCTGCATAACATTTATATAATTTTTTGCTTTTTAATTAACCTCTTATCTAAATTTACTTAAAACACCGAATTTATTTGCAGGCCGAATATTGTGTAGCATAATTTTTCTATTAGACATAGAACCAAGAAATTATATCCTTCGTCAATCAGTTGAAGATTGGCAATGGATAAATATTCAATTATCCGTTGCAACATATTTGGCTGGGGTGTAAGATCACTTATGTTTACGTATCTATCAAATATTCTTATACATTTTAATTATGATAAATATTTGTCAAATTTTATAGGTTTCGTACAATTCCACGAATTACTATCATTCAGCCAACAAAAGAATCTGATCATATCCAAAAGTCTTTATGGATCCCTTCTCTAATTCTTATAAGATACACTTATTGGTCATTTTTTGTAATTATTATAGTCGTGTGCCAAGGTTCATCTATAATTTCTGGTTATTTTCGTATGCGCTCAGATAAGCATTTATCTGACATATTCTTTACCGTTCGCTTTCTGTGCTATTCATTTGGTTGCACTTCTATGTTGTTCGGATATGGAATATATGGTCGAACATTGGTAAAGTTAACAAAACGAAGCTTTGAATTGATTGATGAAACTCGGAGAAATAATGAAAGAATTAAGTGGCAGTTACGAAAGGTAATTATAAAAAATATCCCGTATAATTGCTAACAATTCTATAATTGCGAGCTGGGGTTGGTGGGTTAGTTGTAGTTCATCGGGTAATTTTTTTGTTACATAACTGTGCAGATCTTTAATAAATTAAATATGTTCAGATCTGCGCAGATCTGATATAAAAAATTCCATCGTGATCTGCATTTTTAAAAATTATCTCCGATCTGAATACAAAAAAAATTCCCGATGTTAATTGCTCAATCTTTGAATTAGGCTAGAAAGTATTAGGTTAAATGCAAATCCCTAACTATTGGGGTGAAAAATGGCATTCAATTCTTAAAAAGTCTTACTTCTTTTTTTATAGATGCAAATGTTCAATCAATCGGCATTTAGCAGCTTCTTATTTTGGTCAGTTGCAACATTTTTCATAGCATTTTGCCACGATTTGGTCTGGTCTACTTTGGCACTTTCAGAAATTCAAATTATAATGGCATGCCCAGTAACCATTGTTTCTTACATTGTTGCGATGATTGTGATTGCAGTGAGGTACGTTAAAAGGAAGAAAAAAAAAGGCAAAAGAGAATAGATAATGAATTGCATTATACAAACTAATATATTTTTTTTAAATGAACGTAGTGATTTGAGAAATCAAGACTCAAATCCAGACGATGTTTCCATAGCGACATACAGTAATCAATTTATGCGATCACAGTCTGCACTCTAAAACTAATTAAATGTCTGTATATACGTAATTCTATCCTTAACCTTTTCTCATGATCGATCGCTATATAGACAGCATAATAACTTATAATGTTGGTATTTGTCTTATTTTTGCAAATACACATTTGTTTAACCAAGATATAATCATCTTATAAATTTTTTATAATAGCTAATACTTTTAATTATGTCATATTTGTATTATGATCTCTTGCAGTATAGGTAACACTATTAATAAAATGTATAGCTAATCAATTGATTAGATTAGTGAATTTTACGTAATTGATGCACTGTACAATCTATGTTATCTTCTTGATAATTATATCGTTTTAATATACAGGTGCACTTCTCTAAACTTATAATACAGTATTTATCGTTTGTCATTAGCGTTAGCAAAATGGTGCATTTTTATCGCTGAATGGAGCGATGGTGCATTTTTGCTTATAATAAATAAATAAATTATTAAATTTAAAATACTGTATTAAATACATATTTATAATAATTTAATATAGTTTAATAAAAACTTCCTGATAGAGCAGAATGCATCAGGGCGACCACGGAAATTTCAGGTCACGTGACGAAGATTTTTTAAAAATTCTAGCGAAGTTTTCTCGATAACCATTTAATCAAATCTAATAAATTTTTTTTATTTTAATTCTATAAATTCGTAGAAATAAAATAAAAAATTTCATCAAGTATACACCGCTAGTTATTGAAAAACCTTCACTCAAAATTTCAAAAAAATTAGAATATCAAATAATTAGGTAAATTTTCCTTAAAAATTTTACATGAAGATTTCTCGACAACTACCAGTTCAAATTTGATTTTTTTTTTATTTTAATTCTACAAATTTGTAGAATTAGAATATAAAATTGTATTCAGTTTGATCAGGATAATATTCGATTAAATATAGAAAAAAATTAGCCGCAGCTTCTTTTTGATGGGTGCTTAACTTTGAACGAAGATTTCTCGATAATTGCCTGATCAAATTATATGAAATTTTTTATCTTAATTCTATAATAAAATTAAAATAAAAAAATTTCATATAGTTTGATTATGGTTCAAAGTTGAACGTCCATCAAAAAGAGGCTGCAGCTAAATTTTTTTCTATCTTTAACCGAATATTACTCAAAAAGTACCTGATAAAATTAGATAAAGTTTTTTATTATAATTCTGTAAGTTCTAAAAGTTTTTACCGAATTTGCACTGTTAGTTATTGATAAACCTTTGCTTGAAGTTTGAAAAAATTAGAATGTCAGAAAAAATGATAAACTTTCCTTCTTTAAAATTTACATGAAACGTTCACTTTTGAGCGAAGATTTCTCAACAAATACCTGATCAAATTATATGAATATTTTTTTGGTTTAATTCCATAAGCTTATAGCAGAGAAATTTTCGCTCAAAGTTGAACGTCCATCAAAAAGAAGCTGCGGCTAAAATTTTTTAAGATATTCTAATTTTTAAAACTTCAAGCGAAGTTCTCAATACTAACGGTGATAATTTGATGAAATTTTTATAAATGAATTTTTATTGGATTCAGTTAAATGGTTATGAACCTTCGTTAAAAGGATCTCCGGTCACGTGACCTGAAATTTTCGTGGTCGGGATTCTAGGGTATGTATTTTCAAATATACTTTACCCTTGTTATAGTAGACCCGTTAAAGTGAATCCCTTGTTATAGTAGACCCGTTAAAGTGAATCCCTCATTATAACAGAGTTATTCTCTATAATATTTTAAAATAATTATTATACTATATAATGTAAAAATGGATATTTATTATAACAGTGATGTGCCATTTATATGATACCTGAAAAATTTTAGCGTACGTTGTGAGAGGCATATCTCACCTATATTATTATCATTGGATGATATTACGCCCTACTTTATTTTTTTTATATTATTTTACACTATGATATTATATATATTTTTTTATCTTACTATTTTGTTTTACCCGGGTCTCTTCCCTATATGGAAGAACCCATGTTATCCTAAACTTGATCCAAGGATCAAGTGTCCTTTTTAAT